TTTATTTATTTGTGCATACAGAACTGGGGTACAGGTCAGAGGTGCAGGGGCGGTGAGAGGCTTCACCAGAGACAGAGTGGGGAGCAGAACAGCCAGATCACGAAGTACACTGCTGAGGGGAGCAGCGGGCGGGTCAGGAGAGGTTTGCCACACCATGTGGTCACCTCCGGGGCAGGCGGGAATCAAACTCATGTGGAAGCGGCTTTAGATTCTCAGTGCAGTGCTTTAACCCGCTGTGCCACCAGGGAGGGCCCTACTTGAGCTATTTTTAATACCCAGTAGGAGCAGAGGGTGACTGAGTGAGGCTTTACAGAGTGGGAAAAGTGTGCAGAGGTGTGAAAACAAGAGCAGGCACTCGCCTCCATGATAAATTCAGAGAGCAATCCAGGCCAGGAACTGCATGTGCAAAACCATGCAGGGAAGACATAGAATATGATGTTTGGGGAGCTACTTACACTTTAGTTTTATCAGAATCTAAATTATGAGAAAAACAGGGTGCAGTGGAATGAGCATGGAACATGAATCACTGGGGAGTTATCCAACCTTAAGGGACACTTAAATCATGACAGTTTCCCACGGCAGCAAGAAAATCATTGCTCAGACATTTCTCTTACCAGCGGTAGTGGCAACTTCCATAGGTGCAACGGATGTCTTCCCAGGATACCTGGAAGCAACAAATGCAGAGAATGAAGCAGCCCACTGACATGAGTTAAGTTTCCAGAGAGTACAGGTGCTGTAATTTGTCCTTGCTCACTACTCCAGACAAACCCACCCCTAAGTCCCCAAACCTGGATCACCTACACATAGCATACCTTGTCTATGAGGTTCCTTTTGGAATCTCTGCCTAAACTTATTATACTCAGCCCAGAGCACTAACTTACCTATTCCTAACTTGTTTCCATATGTTTCCCAGTAAGCATGAAACTGCCAGGCACTGCACTTAGAACACAAAAAACCTAGGCCCTGGGGTAAATATTATTATAGAGGTGTCAACTATATGGGGACACCATGAGAATGGGGGGGGAGCTTTAAACCCACAAAAGGCCTCTGACACAGACAACTGGACCATGATGTGTCTTGAGACACACTGAGAACATAGAGAATCCTGGACTCAGTTATTGGAGGAGAAGGAGACCATTTTGTGTGATGTTCCTTACCCAGCAAACGTTGGAGTCGTTGAAACAGAACCATTCTCCATTCCCAGAATTCTGAATATAGGCACAGTAATGACCGAAGTCAGCCATTCCCACATGGGCGATCACAGCAAAGAGCTCATACTGTCCCCCTGCCTGGAAGGACACAGGCACAGTGACTTCCCTTCCCTCTCCCTTCCCAGCCCAGCCCAGAATAAGGAATTACAATTCCCTCATGTGTTTCCTCACCGCCTACTCTTTGCCAGGTACTGGCTGTTTAAGGAAATGAGACAACCGTTTTTGACCTCAAGAATCTCCCAGTTACCATCATGTCTCACATCAGGGAGATTACAGGTCAATCTGAGAAGACCCAACATCTGCCCAAGAAAGGAGAAGGAATGACCAGCTGAGGAGACAAGGAAGCACCCCAGAGTGGACAGGCTTGGGCTCAATTTGAAGAATGAATGAGAGTGACAGAGAAGTTACGAGAAAGGGGTACCCTTGAATAGAACCAGAAACTACAAAAAAACTCAGCAGCATAATAGAGCAGAGTATACTGAGGAACTGGGAATCAGAGAGGGCGCTGGGAAGACACAACAGAAGAAACTACAAGATCAAATTAAGAATTAGGATTTTATTCCCCGAGTGATGGGCTCACTCAGGAGGCTTGAAGCAGGGAACACATCACCAGATTTACGTTGACAAACGTCCTGAAGTAACGTGGTTGTTGGAGAAGAATCCATATGAGATGGAAACCAGTGAGATAAATTATAATAATGCAATAAAGAAAGGTGCCAGCCTAGATAATTATATCAGTATTAGTCACAAATATGATCATGATTATTAACATAATCATGAACTAGGTTTTGGCATTCACTATACATTTGGCTAAACTTACATATATTCATTTACTTAAAATTCACAACAATCCTACGAGGTAGATGACTGTATAAATACGACTTAGCAGAGATGGAATCTGAACTCAGGAAGGTAAAGTATTTTATCAAAGCCAAGAGCTTATGAATAGAATAGGCCTGTTTGGTTTCAAAGTCCAAGTTCTGCACCCCTCTGCTGTACAATATTGAGGAAGTAAAAGTGGAGGGAGAAATGAAGAGGGAAACTATGGAGAAATTGCAAAGTGTTTTATAACTGATTAGCACAAGGAAGAGGCACTATTGGGATGGATTCCAGATGGGTGTTAGAAACATATCAGCGCAAAAAGAAAGAAAGAAAGAAAGAAACATCAGCGTGCTGAAGTTGAGTGTGGAACAGAGCTGTGTGGGCATGAAGACATGGGATGAGCCCGTCACTGTTTTGAAGCTCTCGAGAAAGCTCTGAACAGGAGAAATATAGTTGAAAGATTTTGGATTGAGGTGATTGTTGACCCCATGCAGATTAATAAATTCACATTCAAAAATCAGAGAGAAGAGGAATGAAATTAGGACTAAATGTCAACAAAAACAGTGGTCAGAAAAGCCCAAAGCAAGAAAGAAGCCCCGGGGGTTTGGAGAACGATGGGGAGACAGATTTGGTTTTGAAGGCGAGAACTAAATCACAGAGAGTATCACAAAGAGGTCAAATCAAAGACAGCGAGGCGTCCATTCAAGTTGGCGGCCAGTCATTCTACTGCCTAAAGTCGTAGAAAGTCAAGAAAAGGCAACTCTCCGAGCCGGGGAGCTGCTCTCCAGGCATCTCTTTGAACAACCCTGTCCTAGTAGGTTCCTTCCGCCCCTGGCGTCTGCGCCCGAGTTCTTCTCCTTGCCTTTTTGCTAATTAGCTTGCCTTTTTGGGATCTGATACAGTAAGTCAAGATAAGAAGTGATTCTCTGTGAAAAGGAAAGAGTAACTGGAGAGATAGAGTATTGATGGACGGTGAAAAGGCTCCCCCCATTTGTCAGGGATACCTAGTTCTGTGATCTCAGCACAGTTGAATAACGACCCTAACCCGAGACTCAAATAGCATCAACGAGGAAGAACAGGGCTGACAACAGGGCTGACGTCACTGCAGGTGAAGTTAAGTCACCCAAAGGGAGGACCCAGGCTACGCTCTCTCTTAGTTGAAGATCTATGCAGAATTTTTAAATGCAGAGCAACATCTACATCTAACTACTAGTCTCCAGGAGGTACAAAGGGATAGAGAATAAGACCAACCAGTCAATTCTGGATATATACGTATATTTTTGTTTTAAAAAGCTTCAACTAAGTAAATGATAAGGAGAAGGAAGGGAAGAGACATATAAAAGAAACTTTATCAAAAAGAGAAAAGAGAGGGGAGGGAGTGAGGAAGGAAACGGATATCAACAAGGCAAGTGGAGACCTTGTTTGCATCTAGAGTCAAACCAAGCAAATCACAAGACAGTCAGGGGCTTCTGCATACTGGCTGGGCACCAGATGATACGAAGGGGTCAGGAGATGGCACTGGTAATATTGGGGGGAAGTGCTTATTCTTCGAGAATAAGCACTATGAAGGTGTCTGCAGCTACTGCAGCATGAGTTCAATCCCCGGCCAGGGAGGTGACCCACATGGCACAGCAGACCTGTCCTGACCCTCCTGCTGCTCCCCTCAGCAGTGTATTTCATCCATCTGCCTACTCTGCTCCCCACTCTGTCTCTGGTGAAGCCTCTCACCGCCCCTGAGCCTCTGGTCTGTACCCCAGTTCTGTATGCATAAATAAATCTTAAAAAAAAACAAACATAAGACAGCCCCCAACACAAACATAAAAGGATGCAGAATCTGCTAAATGCAGCATTTCAAACCTACAAAGAAAAGCTATTTGTCATTCCCCCCCTCAAATTCTAATAAGTTACTAGTTCAGGACAACTGAATCCAACCCTATTGTTTACTAAATCTGACCCAACAAACTGACCACTTTCTCATTGTCCTCCAAGTGGGCATAAGCCATCTTGAAAAGAGAAGCTGGTTCTTATACTTAGGACCAAGTAGAACATCGGTGGGTCTGCACATCCGATGTGGAAGGAAGGCCCTGAATGATGGCCTCCTTCCCTCAGAACTATGAGCCCCGAGAGTAGAACTATGAGCTTTAGCACCCGCAGAAAAAATGTGTGGACAGCAGACAGCTGTGGTGTTAGTGGGGTGCCCACGGCCCACGCTTGTTGTTTAAGGACACGGGCGTTCCTTGAATATGAGAATGTGCCTGAGTTTCAGGCTGTGGAATCTTCCTCCCTTTGTGTGGCCTGGGCAGAGTCTGCAGAGGACTTGATTTCTGAGATCTGAGTGACCCAAAATGCCATCTCGGGGGAGGGGGAGCTTCCAGCATTTTCCAATAGAGGGGAGAACCCCAAGGACGTGTGACGAGGGACAGAAGGGAGGTGGGGCGCAGCGCACCTGCTCCTGCCCGTCACAGGGCCCTTGCTCTACCAGAAGGACTTCGTTTAAGTCCAGGCTCCGGGGGAAATACAGGGCATGGCAGACTTTCTCTGTGTTTGAATTTTTGGTGGAGAACCGCATCAGGTGGATGGTCAAGGTCTCAGGCAGCTGGGTCAACCTGAAGACCTGAAAAAGTCAAACCAGCGTGGACAGGCAGTCAGAGCAATACCAGCGCCCGGGTCTGCTCTTCATATGCCAAATCAGCTGCTCCCTGAGCAGACACGTGGCCCTGGGCTGGGCTGGGGGTGGGGAGGGGGAGGATTAGGGTCTGGGGCCAGGAGCTCAGCCAGCCCTAAGCAGAAGACTGTCCTGGCAGCTCCTGGGCCTTCTCTTTTCCACCAAAGGCTCCTCCCCCTCAGCGCTGTGCTACACAGCTCCGGACAGCAGAAGCCCAGGGATCCCAGAGAAGACCCTGATGCATGCCACTCCCGGTACCCTCACTCGGTTTCCTCGGGGGCCACTGGAAAAGCCCCTGCTGTCGGGGTGTGAGTACCTGTTTCCTAGAGGTCTTCCTCCCACAGTTCTCACAGAAGAACTTGCTTTCACCGATCAGCTCCTTGGGCTGGAGAAAGTAGCGAAAGGCGTCCTCCTGCCCCAGAACGAGAGAACAGCAGGATCAGACTTCCCCAGAACCCTCGTCTCGCAGATGGGGGTTTCAGAAAGTGCCCCCCTGATTGGAGGGGAACAGCAGGAGGGCCTCTGTTAAGGAGGCAAAGCAAGGAAATGGGAAGTGGGAAGGAAACATGTTTCACCAGGTCACAGGGGAACTGAGAGCCAGGCCAGTGGGATAGAATGATTGTTTAAGCCCAGGGTGGATTACAGAAACCAGGGAGTGGTGGCAGCATCGTCAGCGGGGGTGGAGGACAGCAAGATGCCCAAGGGGGGTCCCTCACCAGGGTCTTCAGAGGCTTGCAGTCCAGGTCGAAAAGAGAAAGGGGAAGGGTGAACATGTTGCTGTATTGGCTGCTCTCCTTGTTACACTCCAGGCAAATCAGGGATTCCTTCATCTGGATTCCATACAGCCTCTGCAGCCTTTCCACCTGCCAGAGAGGGAGAAAGGGGCCCACCAAAGGCACCATGAGCCGGACCAGGCCAGTCTCCAGAAGGTGCAGTCACGAGACAGAAGCTCTATAACCAGCCACTGATGTATGCTTTGCTCAGCTCTTAAGGTACACAATGGGAACACCAGCGGGGTCAGGGAGTTGTGGTGAGGATTTGAGTGCACATTGTTTGTTTCTCCTCTCTGCACACTGTGTTAGCGATAGTCGGATGAGTCAAGGAGCAACGCCTTAAACTTCTGAGTTCTCTAGTTTTAGGATCTTACCAAGTCTGCGTCGGTGATTTGGTCCTTGATTAGGTTCAAGATGGTGAGGTACAGGTAAGCAGCATCATGCTGGACAGACACTGGCCAAAGAGAAAAGTCGCAGCCCAGTAAGCGAGGCCACTGGCCCTGATTCACGCCCCGGGCCCTGCGGCCCAGACCCAAGTGGCCGCCCGCCACCTTCACAGCCGCCCCCTTGGTCAGGCCGTTTCCATGACTTAGTAAATGCTCAATAAATGCTTGGGCTAAAACAAGCTTGATAATGACTTATGAGAACTCTTCTTTAAACCTATAGTCTGGTCCCACAGCACAAGGTTTCCTGTCGTCTGGCCTGCCACCCCCACTGACCTCCTAGGTAAACCATCAGTCGCAAGTGGATTCTCCCCTAATCCAGTTCTAAATGGACTCTTAGGGCCACTCCCTTCTCTGTGTCTTTTATGCATTTTCCTCTTTCACTCCCCACAAATCGGCAGTTTCCTAGTATTTGTATTTGAGCCAGGTTTCCCCCAAAGGTGTCTGGGAGAACAGGAAGTGTTAGATGATGCAGACTGACTCGGCAGGGTTGGAATAGTAAATGTAAGGCCAAGGTGCAGTCATGATACGTGTAAGTGGATTTTAAAGTGCAGTGGTGGGCACAGTGTGGAGGGTGTTTGTAGAGGCCTCAACCTATCACCCCCAGAGCAGATGCAGAGAAGTAGACCTATGTCACCCCAGTAAAAACAAACACTTCTGTTTTGCATTAAGGAAATAGGCATTTGCCGGGGAGGGGGGGAAATACTATTCAAGAGAAATCCAGGAAGCCAAAGAAAATGAAAAATACAGTGAGGAGTATTTCATAAAACAGGTGTCTGCCAAAAGGCAGTGATTATCGTCAAAGGATGAAATAGTCACAGCTACTCTCGCAATGCCATTTTATTACCTTCATGGTATTATCATAATCTGTGCTTACAGTTTTGGGGATTTAGTTGGTTTTGCCTTATTTTTCGTTATCACCACACTAGCACAATACCTGGCACATAGCAGGTGAACATTATGATTTAGCTGCTTGGATTCATTCATCCAAATACTAAGCGAATGATCCTAAAACTTATAGACAAGTGGGGCAGGTTGCACTGGGTATCTCCAGGGAATTATTTGGAAGGCTGCGAGCCACACCGCCAGCGCTGGACACAAAGTAAGTCAGATCACCCTCCTGCAGAAGGTCTTGGCCCACGTGACCACCCCAGAGCGCAGGGAGCCCTCTCTGCTAAGAACTACAGCAACGTAGTCCAACCCATGACTGGGTTCACCAGCCAGAGGAGGCCCCTGTCACCAAGAAACAAACAGTCTAGGGGAGGACAAGTATCCACATAGTCATTATTCAATAGCGAATAAGAAAATAAGGAGTATAAACTGCTGTGGAAACTAAAGAAAGGTGAGAACCTGGATGGTGACTTTGAGTCTCCATAAATCCACTCCTATAAGAAAACGAAAGTACTGGCAAAAACTGTCACTGTCAAATTTTCTCAGAATTCTAAAAATAAACCTCAAGCTTACCAAAAATCTTAGGTGTTTATTTTGAATAATAATAATAATAATAATAATAAAAATACTGGGCTCTCCCTGGTGGTACAAGGGGATAAAATGCAGCACTATGAAGCTGTCAGTGGCCACTGCAGCATGAGTTTGATCCCCGACCAGGGAGTGACCCACATGGCGCAGCAGACCTCTTCTGACCCACCCACTGCTCCCCTCAGCAGTGTGTTTTGGTAGATCTGCCTGTTCTGCCCCCCACTTTGAATCCTCTCAAGCCCTCCTGCCCCTACCCCTCAACCTCTGGCCTGTATTCCAGTTCTTGTATGCATAAATAAACAACTCTTTTTAAAAAGGATATAATAATAAATGTAATTAGAAGGGAAGGATTTATGGCTTTTCTACTTTGGCTGATTTTCAATTCCTTCTTCTCAGCTCTGCAGTGGCCTTGAAAACCAGAACCCTTTGAAAGGTAGGGTGCAGACTAGGATTAGCGCTCTTCCAAAAAGCATTTTATTATTTCACCTACCTTAAAGTTCCAAGAAAGCCCCACTTGAAGAAGTAGTCGTTGTTTGACTGAACTCAGATCTTACAGCCCTACTCCTGGGCATTTGTGGAAAACAATCAATCAGTGCCAATTGTTTAATGTCATCATTATCTAAGGTTGCAACACCAGTCAGGGCAAAAAAGAATATTGCCAAGGGCCCTCCCTGGTGGCACAATGGGTTAGGACACAGCACTGCAAGCTGACGGCAGCCGCTTCAGTGCGAGTTTGATCCCTGGTCCTGGAGGTGACCCACGTGGCGCGGCAGACCTGTCCTGTCTCCCCGCTGCTCCCCTCAGCAGTGTACTTTGTCAGTCTGCCTGTTCTGCTCCCCACACTGTCTCTGGAGAATCCTCCTACCTTCCCCACACCTCTAGCCTGGACCCCAGTTCTTGTGCATAAATAAATAAATCTTTTTTGTGTGCATAAATAAATAAATCTTTAAAAAAAAAAAAAGAACAGTCAGGCATCAGCCTTAGTAGACCCAAGCATTAGATTAATCTATACTCAAAGAAGCCCATTGCAAAATTATGAAATTATGAAAACAACGTCTCACCCAACACCAATGTCAATACAGAGGGAAGTTTATGTCACATTTTTACTGCTGTAACATGGGCTTACACTACACACGATTTAGGTTCCCTCCGCCTCAGATGCAGGTTACCACACCCGCCCACACCAGAGCCCGATCATGCGCACCGTGGCCCCAGGCCGGGCCCCGGTTCTCCTCACTTCCACCGGTAGCCTCAACTCCACGCCCCTTCTAAGGTGGCGTTTGCTTTTTACTTGGCTACCCTGTGTTTTGTGTCCGGGCGCCACACAGGAGTGAAAGCACCCAGCGCCTGTCTTTCTGATCCTGACTGACCTCACCTGGCACCATCTCCCCCCGCTCCACTGTGCTGTCACTCACCACAAGCCTCACGCTCCGCGGCTGGGACTGGCCCCGCGCACACCGGCCGCGGCCACTTCATCCGCATCGTTCCCAGCCCCCTCGCATGTCCTTGGCACTGATGTTGTTTCTGCAACTTGGCTGTTGTAAAAGTGCTGCTGTGGACACCAGAGGGTAAATACCACTTTAAAGGGGTGTTTGTTTGTTTTTTAAAGAAGTTTTTAAAGATTTATTTATTTGGGCAGACAGAACTGCGATACCAGCCATTGGTGCAGGGGCAGCGAGAGGCTTCACCAGAGACAGAGTGGGGAGCAGAACAGGCTGATAGACGAAGGACACTGCTGAGGGGAGCAGCAGGTGGGTCAGGAGAGGTCTGCCGTGCCATGGGGGTCACCTCCGGGGCGGGGATCGAACTCGCACTGAAGCGGCTGCGGCCAGCTCCCAGTGCTGCGTCCCAACCCGTTGCGCCACCAGGGAGGGTCTAAACGGGTGTTTTTTTAATGCTTCAGGTAGATAACCGAAGTGTGGAATTTTGGAATCGTAGAGTGGATCCATGTTAGTGTTTTGAGGGCGTTCGATGTTGTTTTCCACGGCTGCTGCTTCCCATGAACTGTGGGCGAAGTTTCCATTTTTTCCTGCGCCCCGGCTAACCCTGGCGGCTGGCGCCGCGCTTCTCAGCCTTACATGGCACGTTGCACTTGCGGAGGCAGTAGGCCAGCTCCACGGGCCGCACCGCCTTCTGCCTGCTGTCCTGCATCCTCTCCATCAGCAGAAGCAGCTGCACCGGCACGCTGTGCTTCTGCTCCTCTTCCTCCCTGGGCAAAGTTATCCTGCCGGAGAAAGAGCAGCCGTGACCGTCTTCACCGCCATGATTCTCAGTGCCAGGTGCACACTGGAACTTTAACAAAATCCATGGTCAAGCCTATGTAGACTCACTACATCAGAATTTCTGGAGGGTGGGGTGCCGGCGTTAGCGTTGGGTTTCCTAGGTGATTGAAGTGTGCAGACAGGGTTCAGAACCACCAAGTCGGCAAATCGGTTATAGCTGCTCTCTCCAGAGGGCGCTTGGCACAACCCGCTGGCTCTACCCCCTGCCCCTGCCCCGCAATCACACCAGAGTGAGGGTGCTAGGTGCTGGGTCCACAGGGCAATGACCCACCCGCAGCATTCCTAAGGGAAAAGCCAGACTCTGTCCTAGAACCTAGGAACAAAGGGCATAGTCGAGTCTTTCTCAACTGTCCCTGCCAGAGAGGGAAAGAGGAGATCGCATGGGGGAAGAAAGAAGACGTTCGTATGTGTAAAATATGTGGGCTTCCTGCTGGCGCAAAGGGTTAGGCCTCAGCACTATTGATCAAGCTACTGGCAGCCACTGCAGCACGAATTCAGTCCCAGCCAGGAGCTGACCCACAGGGCACCAGACCTCTGTCTCCCCCAGCGCCCCTCAGCAGTTGAGCTCAGTCCATCTGCCTGTTCTGCTCCCAACTCTGTCTCTGTGATTCCTTTCACCCCATCCCTGCACCCTACCCTACCACACCTTTGGCCTATAAACAACAGGAAAAAATCCTCAAAACATGACTAAAAAACTATGAGAAACAATAAAGCAGTACAGCAAAGTGCCAGGCTACAAAATCAATATACAAAAATCTGTTACATTCTATATGCAAACTAGAAAACAGAGAACTCAAGAAAACAATCCCATCGAAAACAATTAAGCACCTAGGGATTAACACAGCAAGGTGAAAGACTGGAACACTGAAAAATACAGACACTTTTAAAAGTGGAAGACACAAAAAAATGACAAGATATTCCTTGAAAGAAGTAACATTACCAAAATGGTCATTTTACTCAAAGCAATATTCAGATTCAATACAGTCCCTATCAAACATCAACATCATTCTTCCAAGAAATGAAAGAAACATTACTGAAATTCATACAAGAACCACAGAAGGCTCTAAATTGTCAAACCAATCCTGACAAAAAAGAAGAAATGACAGACACATCACCCTTCCAGGTTTCAAATTACACCACAAAGCTATGGAAATCAGCATATTATGGTGCTAGAATAATAATAGATGCACTGACCAGTGGAATAGAATTAACAGCCAGAAAGGGCCCTCCCTGGTGGCGCAACGGGTTAAAGCACAGTATTATGGAGCTCTCTGCAGCCACTGTAGCACCAGTTTCATCCCCAGCCAGGGAGTGACCCACCTGGCGTGGCAGACCTCTCCTGACCCTCCCGCTGCTCCCCTCAGCAGTGTACTTCATCGATCTGCCTGTTCTGCTCCCACTCTGTCTTGGTGAATCCTCTCACCACACCTGCACTTCTGGCCTGTACCCCAGTTCTGTAAGCATAAATACATAAATCTTAAAAAAATAAAAGCCCATGCTTATATGGACAGTTGATTTATAACAATGAGCTAAAAATATAAACTTGAGAAAGTTTCTTCAACAAATTATGTTAGAAAAACTGGACAGTACTATCTCACATCATATTCAAAATGGACTAAAGACTTGGATGTAAGATGTGAGGCCATGAAATACGCAAAAGAAAATTTTGGCAAAACACTCCCCCACACTGGCTTCTGTGATGTTTTGGGGGACTCAGCTCCAACAGCAGAGACACAAAAGCAAAAACAAACAATAAGACTGCATCAAATTAAAAAACGTCTGCAAGGCAAAAGAAATTATCCTTAAATGAAAAGACACCTTACCGAGTGGAAGAAATATTTGCACGATACATCTAACAAGAGGGCTAATCTTAATCGAAGGTCTACAAAGAACTCGTGCTACTCAACCTCAGGAAAACCAACAATCCTATTTAAAAGTGGGCCAAACTTCTGAACAGATACTTGTCCAAAGAAGGTAAACAGATGGCTGACAGGCCCATGAAAAAAAGTTCATCAGTTGTTATCAGGGACATGCAAAACAAATCCAAACCACCATGAGAATAGCCCTTGTCAAAAATGACGAAATAAAAGTTGTTGGCCAGGATATGGAGAGCAAGGAGTCTTTGCACAAAGTGGATGGACTTCAGACAGGCTCAGTCTCTGTAGAAGACAGTATAGTGGTTTCTTGAAATTTTTAAAATAGTTCCACTTTATAATCCAGCCCAGGTATCTTCCCCAAAGATGCAAAAAAGCACTCATACAAAGGAATAAATGCATCCTGTGCTGGCTGCACTGCCATCTGCATTAGTCAATATGGAAACAAGCTACATGCCCAAAGACAGATGAGTTGTTTAAGAAGATGTGGTATATATACACGATGGAATACTACTCAGCACTAAAAAAGATGAAGGTTTCCCAGTTGTAACAGAGCGTGCATGGAACTGGAGGTGATTATGCTAAGTGAAATAAATCAGAGGGAGAAAGACAAATAACAGATGATTATATTCACGTGTGGAATATGGAGAAACAAAACAAAGGAACAGAAAAACTAAACCGACACCAACCGAGAAATCTGACTGTGGAACTGAAGCTACTTGAGGGGAGGAGTGGGCAGGAGGGCTCAAGGGAGGGGCCCAGTGGAATACGGCAGAGGATCACGGAAGCTTAGGTGAGGATGGTGGTGTAACACACGTCTTAGGAGGTGTGGATCTATAGCAGCAATGCCAATTATATATTATATATATATATATTATAGCACTATTGCCAAGTAAAAATAATACAATGAAATATAGAAGTCCAAGTCACTGTGAGTAACGAAATATTTTAAAATGCCAGAGAATATACACGTTTATCAGTCTAAATAAAAGTATTACCTCTTCAATATCTTGGTGAAACGCATGTTCATAATCAATACTTGAATCAGGGCGTTAAGGCAGCAGGTCCGTCCAATATTGTGCAAACCCACGAGGCCTATAAAGAAGAAAAAGAAAAGACACTGAGGATAAGACCTAGCTAAGGGACTTAAGAAAATCCAGCTGTTTTCCTAGAATCTACCAAGCACAGGAAATCCTATAAAGTACTCTCAGAGGAGCAAAGAATTCATCAAGGATCTTGCAAATAAATTGGAGACCCGTTGAGAAGTGAAATAGCACTAGAAGTTTTCATAGCCCATTAGGAAAAGAGGTGTCACAAGAAAGTGTATTCTGCAATGTCACACTAGTAGTATAAACAATGGCGAGAGCAAAGGGAAAGGAACAGTACAAAATTCAAAACTTGCAGAATTATGAGTTCCTCTCATTCAAATTGTCCCCTATAGAGTTGAGTCAAAATGGATATCTATGGGGCCCTCCCTGGTGGCGCAGCGGGTTAAAGCACAGCACCAAGAAGCTAAAGCCACTAAAGCATGAGTTGGATCCCCGCCTGCCCCGGAGGTGACCACATGGCGCGGCAGACCTCTCCTGACCCGCCCGCTGCTCCCCTCAGCAGTGTACTTCGTGGATCTGCCTGTTCTGTTCCCCACTCTGTCTCTGGTGAGTCTTCTCACCGTCCTGCACCTCTGGCCTGTGCCTCAGTTCTGTATGGATAAATAAATAAATCTTAAAAAAAAAATGGCTATCTATGGGGTTAAGAGTAATTTCAGCTGGTCTATTTTTTTAAAATTTATTTTTATATATTGATGCACACAAGAGCTGGGGTGTAGGCCAGAGGTGTGGGGGTGAGAGGCTCCACCAGAGATGGAGTGGGGAGCAGAACAGGCAGATCCACTGAAATCCACTGCTGAAGGGAGCAGCGGGTGAGACAGGAGAGGTCTGCTGTGCCCTGTGGGTCACTCCCTGACTGGGGATCGAACTTGTGCTGCAGTGACTGCAGGCAGCTTCACAGTGCTGAGACTTAACCCCTGCGCCACCAGGGAGGCCCCAGCTAGTCTGGTTTGGATTCCAGTGGAAAGGACCCTGCTTAGTCCCCACCACACTGGACGAAATCTGGAACGCTTTAGGGAAGATTAAACTCATCTAAATGCACCTAGAGAGTTTGAAGCCAGAAGTGACTTAAAAGGACACAAGAAAGCCGAAAGATAGTGTGTCTCTGACTCACTAGCAACTAAATTTTCCCATACCAGACCTGGGCTCAGCAGGCCCTACAAGGTGAGTGATGTAAGAGGTAGGGAGAAACACTCATTTCAGGGGCCCTGGGGCAAGGGCTTTGGTGCAGATGAGAATGGGCAGTCGAGGGTAAGCATCTCAGGTGCCCACAGCACTGCCCGCCAGTGCAAGCGCCTTCTTGCCTCCACACACACCAGCACCCAGGAGTGACCGCCTCAGGCCTGAAGTGTGGCCCCACAAAAGTCTGTGGTCTCGTTTGCTCTCTCCAAGCTATGCACCGGGACTGGAGTCACGCCCCCATTACAGACGTAGAAATGGAGGCCCGAGAGACGGGGAGACTCGCACTGCGAAGTCCTACTGCTGCAGAGTGGCATGGGCCAGCAAAGCCATCCTACACGAGAGAAAGACGGGAGGGAGGGAGTCACCGTGAGGACGGTCCCAGGCACTGAGGCGTTCTTGTAGCCACATCCTCTTCCTCTTCATGGCGTCTTCTTTCTCCTCAGTGGGTCCTGCCAGGAAATGCCGAGACTCAGCCAGGACTGTTTGCCTCAGGATCCCAAACACCTTGCCCATGAGTGTTCACCCCAGAGTCCCCAGGCCGCCGGCTGCCTGGTCAGTGTTTAGGATGGACCATCCAACTTCACTTCCAGGAGCACCTCTGGTGAGCCAGCTTGGTGGGACGGCTGTGGAAACACAGGTAGGTGAGGCAGGAGAAGGTGTTCAAGTACCAGCTCTGATTACAAAGAACCAGTGTGTGGGACATAAACGTTGGGCGAGATTCTAGCGCTAAGGCTAGAAATGACAGTGAGACACCCCTACCCTTTGTCCCACACGTTCAGGTTTTTTTTTTAAGGATTTATTTATGCATATAGAATTGGGGTACAGGCCAGAGGTGTGTGGGGGTGAGAGGACTCACCAGAGATAGAGTGGGGAGCAGACAGGCAGATGGACGAAATACCCTGCTGAGGGGAACCGGGGATCGAACTTGTGCCGAAGCGGCTAGGGCGAGCTTCGTGGGGCTGCGCCTTAGCCCCCTGCACCACCAGGAGGGCCCCTGTTCACAGTCTGTGTCAACGCAGCAGGCTGCTGGGTCGTCTCCCCCCGGGGTTCGCTGTTTTGGCACACAGCACGACACTCACCGAGGGGTGCAGACCAGAATCCTGAGGGTCTCGTTGCCCCACGCGTTCAGGGCACATATATACGTTTAGGGTTTTTATTACAATTTTTAAGGTTATTGCACTTCAAATAATGCTGCCGTAGGAAGAAAACTTGCAAAATGAAGAAAATATAAATCAGTCGCGATCAGCACTATTTGATATTTATCTTGTCGACTCTTCCTGTAAACATAGGAAACGGCTTTTCCTGCTTTGCGTTGTAACAAGAATATTCCCACATCATACAAGCTCTTTATAAATCACCTGAGATGCCTGCCAGAGCAAAATACTCTGGCTGTTTTCAGTTTTTTTACGATTCTAAAGAAAATAACCGCGAACATGCTCAGGCGTAACAATTTCTCTATGTACTTGCGTTTTCTCATGCAGACCAAAGACCCACGGGACATGTGCTGTGGTAACCTTCCAGGGTGCCACACTGTCCACAAGGCCCAGGCTCCCTGGTCTTTTACTTCCTCCTGACAACACGGACTTCAGTCCCTTTAAATTCCCCCCAAGCATGTTCCGGAAGCTCAGGATTCTCTCAGAAATTCTTGGAACAAGCTCACCATCCCTGCACTCTGCCACTACCCGCCCTGTGGTGCCACAGGCTGTCTGCAGGGCAGTGCCAAAAGCAGCAATAAACACGCCAAGTTGCCTCTTATCTCCACGCAGGCGCACAAGGTGGAGTGAGACTTGCCCTGCCCCTCCCACCCTGATTTCCTGAATTCCTTCTCAAGGGCTTCAGCTTTGTCCTGCAGAGCTCTCCGGGTGACTAGTGTGGCCCCAGGTCTAATCTGGGAGCATAAAACACTCTCTCCTGGGCCCTCCCTGGCAGCACAAGGTGTTAAAGCGCAGCAGTATGAAGCTGCCTGCAGCCACTGCAGCACGAGTTCGATCCCCAGCCAGGGAGCTGACCCACAGGCACAGCAGACCTCTCCTGACCCGCCCGCTGCTCCCCTCAGCAGTGTACTTCGTCAGTCGGCCTGTTCTGCTCCCGACTCTGTCTCTGGTGGAAACCCACGCCCCACAACTCTGGCCTGTACCCCAGCTCTGGTGCATAAACAAACACATAAACAAACACTCAGGGGCCTCTATGTCACTTTTCCTCAATGGCTTTTGGTCCCCACGCAAAGGGATCTATGACCCTGTAACCTATCAGACCATCGGCCACCAAGAGACACTCTTGAACTTAGGTGAGCTTCTTAAAACATAAAATTACACTGTCTAAGTTTAAGAAATGTAAACTTCATATATGTCGCAAATGCCTTGCATCAACCTCACTTCTCACCAGTAGGTATGAGGGCCCTGGGGAGTCAGCGCGCAAACGAAGGAACTTATGTCAACTGACGTCACAAAGACACTTTTCATGGAATTGTTGGTAGGCAAGGTGAGGGGCACCCCAGGTGGGACCCTCAAACCTGCCTGCCCTCAATACTTTGTCATCTGCTGCAGCAAGACAACGCAAACTCCAGTGCATAAGACGTTCAGTGGAGAAGAACTTTAATACAATCGGTGTGCAACAATGAGCGTGCAATGGAGAGAAGTGGAAGTGAAAGGCCAGTTTCCAAATCAAGAACCCCAAGAGACCCATCCCCTCGCGGGCAAACGACAAACAGGGTTAGCCCCACACAGGGCCGCTGAGGCCCAAGTGCTTGCTGCCATCTAAGGCACCTTCTGGTGGGCACCCACAGCACAGGGGCAGAAGTTTGGAAGACAAAGAGCAAACTCCAACTCAGGACGCAGCTGCCACTATCAGCACCCCCCTGTGTTTTAAGTGTCCTCCTCGCCCTGCAAGTCTCTGGTAAAAGTTGGGCCGAGAAGCAAGCACGGCGGCTCTCCGGCTCTCCTCACATGCTCCGCTCTCGTGCCTCCTGTCTCCCTCCCCATCTGCCCTGCTCCCCCTCACTTCTCTTGCCTGTCTTTCTGTGGCTTCACTTCCCTGGCTAGCCCCACCCTCCCCAGGGCGGTTCCGGGCAACTCCCCTTTCCCGGTACAGAGTGAGTTTGTGCAACCCCCATGGGTTTCCCATCACCAAATCACCCTGTGCCATCACCATAGTCCTGTTCACCCCCCCACCCCCATTTTTGATCCCATTCCCCACCCCACGCCCGTGAACTGTCTCTGGTACACAGTTGTTCAATATTATTCTTTCCCGCCCCCACCACCCATTCTTTTATGCTCCTGCTATGAGTGAGCCCATCAGGTTGATTTTTTTAAAGAGGAAAGTTTGTAGTTTGAAATAAAGGTCATCTTGAGGTGAGGCAGGTAATATGCAAAAAAGACCAGTGGTTGGGAGCAGAAGATGCAGAGAAGCGTGACTGTGACTGTTCAAAGGGGATGCCAATTAAGATCGGAATAAAATGTAAAAGTTTCAGAATTTTAACGTCTGTAGTAGAGTGACCTCCAGGAGCTGGGGCGATGCAGTCAGGCCCACGCGAGAGGCCACTGTGTGCCACTGGGGAAGAAGTATAAAACAGTACAGTTGCTTGGGAACACAATTTGGCACCGTCTTGTAAACATTCATATAACTTCAACCCCAAAATTCCGGCACATGTCCCTGCAGACATTACCAAGAATGCCCAGAGTGGCACGTTTAGCTAAAGCCAACACATGGGAACACTCCAAATGCTCGTGCAGCCAACAGGAGGTGGTGTGTGAGTGGCAAGAAATCCACACGACGAAATCATATTCCTCAGAATGTCGAGTGAGTATGTCAAATGTGGGGAATCTTAGATACAGGGCCTCCCTCGAGGCACAACAGGTTGAAGTGCAGCACTATGAAGCTGTCTGCAGCCACTCGTATGAGTTCTTTCCCCGGCCAGGGAGTGACCCCCATGGCGCGGCAGACCTCTCCTGACCCGCCCGCTGCTCCCCTCAGCAGTGGACTTCAGTCCATCTGCCTGTTCTGCTGCCCACTCTGACTCTGGTGAATCCTGTCACCACTCCCCCCGCACCTCTGGCCTGTCCCCCAGTTCTTGTATGCATCAATAAATGAATCTTTAAAAAAAAAAAAAAAAAAGAAAAGAAATCTTAGAAACATTATTGAGGGCTTTGGGAAAATGGTGCAGCAAGAGCAAAGAAAGAAGATTCCTTTGGTTCCAGAAAACCTGGAAAGAAGGAAGGCGTGTCAGGTCCTCAGAGCCACCCAGCCAAGCAGGTACTGAGGCCATTACCGAATGTCACCTGGAAAGGACTTTCAGTGGTGTCGCTGTCAAAGTGACCCTCAAGCCATAAAAATATTTCATACAGGGCTCTCCCTGTTGTGGCGCAACGGGTTAAAACGCTGCATTATGAAGCTCTCTGAAGCCACTGCAGCACGAGTTCGATCCCCGCCCCGCCCCAAAGTTGACCCACATGGCACAGCAGACCTCTCCTGACCTGGCCGCTGTTCCCCTCAGCAGGGTACTTCGTCAGTCTCCCTGTTCTGCTCCCCATCTGTCTCTGGTGAATCCTCTCACCCATTTCTGTACCCCATTTCTGTAAGCATAAATAAATAATCCTTAAAAAAAACAAACAGGCCCTCCCTGGTGGCGCAGCGGGTTAAAGCACAGCACTGAGAATCTGAAGCCACTTCTGCATGAGTTCGATCCCGAAGCTAAAGCCACTTCCACATGAGTTCGATTCCCGCCTGCCCTGGAGGTGACCACATGGTGGCAGACCTCTCCTGACCCGCCCGCTGCTCCCCTCAGCAGTGTACTTCGTCGATCTGCCTGTTCTGCTCCCCTCTCTGTCTCTGGTGAAGCCTCCCTCTCACCGCCCCTGAGCCTCTGGCCTGTACCCCAGTTCTGTATGAATAAATAAATAAATCTTTAAAAAAAAAATAAAAAATAAAAAAAAACAAACAAACAACAACAAAAAAAACACTTCAGGCCCTCCCTGGTGGCGCAGCGGGTTAAAGCACAGCACTAACAAGCTAAAGCCACTTCCACATGAGTTCGATTCCCGCCTGCCCTGGAGGTGACCACATGGCACGTAACCTCTCCTGATCCGCCCGCTGCTCCCCTCAGCAGTGTACTCCGTCAGTCAGCCTGTTCTGCTCCCCACTCTGCCTCTGGTGAATCCTCTCACTGCCCCTGCACCTCTGGCCTGTATCCCAGTTCTGTATGCACAAATAAATAAATCTTTAAAAAAAAAAAAACTTCATACAGTGGAAGCTTATGTGACCTGAGACCCTCCAAATCTGAATTCTGTCTGGGAACTAATCTTGAAACTTAGATAAGCCAAGACGGAGAATAAGACTACCCTGACAGACAACACAGAGATTGGGTAGCAAGTTAGGGGAGTATTTCCAGGTGGTCTCAGGGTTCTTGCACCCTTTCCAGCTCTCAGTGACCCCTCAGGCGCCCCCGAATAGAGTGAGCTTCCTCGAGGAGATGGACTTACCTGGCTATCCAGGTGAACCGATCAGCTCACCCGGCAACTGACCTAAAACCAGAATATCTGAAAGCATGGTGCATTGGAAGCATGTGCTTTTAGTTTTGGGAATTGGTATCCAGGCCTTCAAAGAAGTTTATCTCCTGCTTTA